CATCTAACATGAGAGTATATTTTTATTGTTATTATTTTTACTTTTACAATTTGATTTTTTTCTTCGAAGACAAATGTGTCAAGGATCCACTTAATAGAAGAGATATTGTTATATAGTTGCAAGGTTGAACAAGAGAAGAAAAGAAAAGAAAAAAATACTAATTATAGAACATCAAAACTACTACAAACAATTTATTTTTCTATTACTAACTATATTAGTTATAAATAAATGATTATATATTGTAATATTCCTTTCAGTATCAGCGCATTTGTTTTTTTTAGAATGAACAAGAGCTGTTTAGTTTTCTACATTAAAACCAGGGTTCTTCATTAAGGACATTGAACCATTTCGAAGGACATCGGTAATAAAGAAATTTTACTCTCTAACTTAAACAACGAAGAATCTGTAGGCCAATTGTTTGATAAGAAATCAGCTTTTACTTCCTGGTATTCATGCATAACACACGTCCCACTTTGACATGTTTTTCATCACATTTCTATGCATTATAGACATTTTAAACTTTAAAAATCGAATTTATTATATATTAATTATTATATATACAAATTTTGAGTATATAATTTTATAATTTAATAAATAAATTTTAAAGATTTATAAGAACAATCAAGAGGTATTATCAATGGAGTAATTAATGATTAAAAATTAAAAGAAATTTATTATTAACAATTTATATAGTTGCTATTAAGTAACAACACGATAGTCTTTGACCTCTTTCATATTTAAAACGAGATTTATAACTGGAATTTCACTATCTTTCTATTTTACAAGTCATCCGTCGGGTCATTCAACTGTCCGAATGGGACATTAATAAAAAAAACTGAAATATCTTTTCGATAATTTAAATATTAAGATCGAATCTATGCCACATATTAATTAAAATTAGCTTATATTCATGTGTTAATGCATTGTAAATGTAGTAAATTTATTCGTTGATTTTTACCATCGACTTCTTCCTTTTAAAAGACAAAGAATGGAGAAAGAAAAGGAACCTGGATTTAATTACTTAAAATCGTGTGAAATAATAACATCTGGGAGAAGTATGTAGATCAAAACGTGATGAGAAAACTGTCCCAAATAGTTTCATCCCTTCTTGAGATTCAAAAATCTCCACCTGAAAACATGAAGTAGTTTCTTACCTTCTATGTCAAGGTAACTTAGATGGTAAGTTCCCAAGGTCGGCAACTACCAATTTTTAATTCGTGATTACCTCTAGGAAAAAAAAAAAAATAATACGTTATTAAACATTGGCTATACATTAAAGCATCATTTATATATACATAAAACAGGAAAATAAATATTATTTTTCTTTAATTAAATAATTTGTTTTAAAATATTGAGAAACATATGTTGTTACTAATATGACAAAACTTCTTAAAAGTGATATTTAACGTTGAGACATGGATTATTTTCAAAAAAATCTGCAAAATTATACTATTTTTAAGAATTTATTTTATAAAAAAAAAAGCTTTTAAAACATTCTAAACCAGAAACAAATTGAATAGAGGCCTAGATATGGGGCATAATGATAGCTACCAAATCACCTTCCAGGTGAATTCTAAAGAATTATGATGGTTTTCGACATTCATAGGGGCCTACGTAAATCTAATTGTTGATTACTACGGGGAGGCCCTTATATTTTATGATACACCTCTGCCTTTATAAAAGGTAAATCTAATGACCTCAATGCTCTACTTCTTATAAGCCTACGCATGTTTTTTTTATATAATAATTCTTCCAAAAATGTATAAGACATGAAGTATTAAATCAATTCTATATTTATTATAATTAAACTAGATTTTATTAATAATTGTAACAAAAAAAAATGTTAAAAATTAGAAAATATTAAACTGTCTTTGGCCTCATAATCCTGATCCTTCAGATTAGACTTAAGCGTATATTTTTCCTTGTTACTCATAGTTTTAACCTCAAGGCGGATTTCTGATAAAATATATCACTTTAGGTTATTATCTTTTTTAATATATATATATAATCCTTTAATGCTTTTTACCATAAAAATTTCATATTTTAACATAATTTTCTCGTCAATCTTCATCATAATGGAATTTTGTTGTCTTTTAAAATGTTTATATTTAGCTTATCAATTGGATACGGAAAGAAATTTCTAACAGAACCTTGATGTTTATGAAGAATTCAGCCTCCTACATCTTCACCTTTCCTTGGCATTTGAGGTCAAATGTCATGGATAACACAACGTTCGTATTGGATGATGTCACTAATCATTTGGATAATTCTAATTACGTAACGAAATTGACCTCTTAAATTTCTTCCTGAAACAAAAGCTGAATAACGGGAAATGAAAGAGAAATTTTTCAAAAAATTTAATTATTTATTTCGTAGAATAAATTAACCCATTTATCTAATAAATTAACATTAAATATATATATATATATTGGAGTTCGTATATCACGTTGTTAAGCTTATCAAAATTGATATGATAATGGTCTATTTAAATTGTAATAAATAAATAATTAAATTCTGAATTTTCCTTTAATTTTTAAAAGTTTTTTTTTCAAATTTTATTTATGCTTATTTTAAATAAATTTTTTCCTATTATAAGAAATAGACTGTTATTAAATAATAGGAAATATTTCTCATGTTTTTTATTGTTAGGGGGGTAGAGCCTACTCAGTATTCTAGGCTGAAGAAGGGTCCCATTAGAATACTGAATAGATAGGATGAATGAGAAATTGTTCATATTTAATAGATTTATTAATATTTTTAAATTATTTAAAATTATATTATAAGCTAACTTTTTCACTTAATTTTTTAACTTCTTTCCTGCTCTATAGGCACTAAGAAAGTTTTTTTCCATGTCTATTTTGAGTTCGCCCATGCACAGAAAGGAGACTAGACTGATTAAAACACTAAGAAGGGGTATTTTTAATACCTATCGTGGGTTTGTTTAGGTCCAGAATGGAATGTTGGTAAATGGAACCCGACATAACCGAGTCAAACAATGTCTGAGTTAGCTTGAATTCGAACCTAGGTCTTTCTAAAGAGAGACCTGGACCACCTTTCGTCACACCCTCAACTTAATACTACAGTATTATAAACAATAAAATAGTTAAAAAGTTTTAATAAAATTCTTTTTATTTAAATGATAAAAAATTACTAATTAATATATTTATTAAATTAGATACTTTTTAATTAATTTAAAATAATTATCTGGAGTTTAAATGGTAAATATTTTTTTAAATATCATATTTTAATTGTAAAAATTTACAAATGTTGTATAAATTTTTTTACTATTATAAAAAAAAATTATTGATATAATTATTATATAGTTATATATAAAAGAATAATGTAATGTTTTCAGAATAACGTAGAAAAATTTGAATTTTAAATCTAAAAATTTACCGGAAATCCTTGACATATACGGTAACTCATTCAGTGTTTATTTAAGATTGTTTGATAACGTTCTGAAATAAAGTCTAAAACCCTATCATTTATTTCAATGTCAAGTGATAGTCCTGCTTAACAAGCAACTCAATTATTTTAATACCTTTCTGTAATTTCGCACTCTAACTTTATCTCGAAACAACAAGACTACATTACATACACAAATTATACATTTCAAAATAATATAGTTGTGTTATTAGCCTATATACAAGATCTAAATATGTCTGATTTTCTACCAAAGTTAAAAAATTAGATATGTTTACATGTTTTATTACCATTGCTTGATGTTAGAAGAATAAATATATGATTATTCTCTGATGTTGACGTTCAATCTCTTCAAAGAAAAATGCTTTTCGGTGTAGAACTGGTTACATTGATGGGATAAGGCAATGTAATACAAAGAGGAATGCCTCCTAGGAAGACTTTCTATGGAGAACTATCCCCTATTTAGGTGTTAGATATGTGGGAAAAAAAACCGCAAAACGAACTCACGACTAATTACTAGTGTTCACTGATTTTTATCCGGATCTAAATGACATATCAAATCTCTTGGCCAGTAAAAAATGTTCGGCCCTAACATAGGGCGAACGGAGCAGCCGCCCCAGGCGCTAAATCCCAGTGGGCACCTCAGTGGTAAAGAAAATTAAAGGGTATAAATTAGGGGCAACCAAAGGGGCGCCATAAAAGGATCTCGCTCCATCTTAAAACTTGCCTCGAGTCGGCACTGGATGAAACTATAGGAAGCCAGTAGTATGGATATTGTTTACAATTAATTTTTTAAAGTTTATTATGATTTATTAATTTTAAGTTGAGTACTAGATTTAAATAGGAAGTTGAAAATAATAATTAAAAAAATGCCTAAGTATGGCATTGGTTTTTATTCAGATGCGAACATTACCTAAGTATGGCATTACCTA